TTGCAGCGCTTTCGCGCTGCGCGGCAAAAATACACAAAAATTACCACTAAATAATTAAAACATGTTGTTACCGGGTTTTCAATAATAATACACGGAGTGTTCACACAATGAAATACGTTCTAAAACAATTTTCTCAGGGAACGATAAAGAAAGAATTGCAAAACTGCCTCTTTGAAGCCGATTTTCGACATCTTTATGAAATTGTGTAAGATTAGCCTCATCCTATGTTCATTGCGAGCAAGAGTAGGAGCATTACCGGACGGCTGATGGACTATATAAATAGTGAAAAATCTGATGCTCCGAAAGAACCATAAAAAAAGAAACAAAGCAAGAGAAGTCAAGACGGTCAGTAAGCAATCGACGGGGAAGAACTTCGAACACAGTAACCATGGAAAGCTTAGCACTTGTTTTGAAGCGCGAAAATACTTGCAATGGAATGATAAGTGAAAAACAGCTAAGACTACACTCGATACGCTAGGAGTTTAGAGCTTATGGAAGAATGACTATGGCCATGAACACAATTTGAAAGAAACTTACTTCTGGAAGCAATGACTTTGTTCCATCCACCCCTGCCTGGATCATAATCTTTGCGGTATTCATCTCGAACCTGTAACAAAAGTCACTTATGTTTCTAAGACGGTAGTCGAAAAGCAGAACAGTGACTAGAAATTACAGATGTAAACTTTTTCCGTATTTGTCTTTTTACCAAAAAGGGAGATATTTGAAGACGAGATGAATGACAGCATTTTTCTAAGAAAAATCAACTGTCGGAAATGTCGTCGACGGTTCTTTTGCCCGTAGGGTGTGTGATTCTTTAGCATGACATGTACTGCCACAGCAATTTATAACCGAAATAAATCAATGCATCTCAAAAGAGGCTGGAATCCTCAGTAACGGATTGGAATAAACAGCCTAATGCACGTAATGGAGTAAAAACTACTACAAGCTTGTCTGCAACTCCAGAGAAAGGAAATCAAAAATAGCTATCCCGCCTACTTTTCGGTATCTTTACCTTTTAAACAGCGAAAACGAAAGGGTTCTGACTTTTGGTTAAACTCGTCAATACATAAAAAGCCAACCTAAGCTAAGCTAGACTGCATTAACTGCACTACACTACATTTTGGCTGAACTAAACTGAACTGGAATATACAACGGACTTGACCGCCATGCTTTCCTCGTCCATACTGGCGCCCTTCAACAAATCCAGCATCCCAGTCAGTACGAATAATTCGATCGTCTAGACGTGTGCCATTGATACACCTCATTGCATCCTCCGCATCCTCTCGAAGATAATATCTGAAGTGAAAATCATGACACATATGCCAGACGACAGTAGGAAAACGAAACGTGAGGATCATCGGCATATAACTTCAGATAGAGAAGTACGCAGCGATTCGCTTATTATAATAATGGCATGAATATGCGACACAGTAAAACTGCAAGTGAATAAAGTACCACATTGCTGCTGACAGTCAAAAAAGGTTTAATATTTCATAATTAGCAATTTCCAGCTCGTTATGGTACACCGTCGTGATCAAGCAAAACTGCCCGGGACCAGTTGGCGATGTTCTACACAGGCTAAAGACATTTATAAACAACTAAAGCCGAATCAAGTACTTCTACTGGGAGAACGGTAGGTTAGCAGTCCCATCCGGAAACGGAATGGACGTTAAACTAGTCAGAAGTATTGGCCAAAGTAACTG